CTGATTTATTTTGTAATTTGGCACTCTCACTACTCCATATATCTCTTGTGGTGAGTTTTCCCTCACGGTGTGGATAAAAGATGCACTAATTAGGTTATCAGACTTATTAATTAAAAAGCCCCTTGTGGGGTAAATCTATTTTTATTGTGTTTTGTGGTTGTTTTGACCTTGGTGGTGTGCAAATTGGAGGTATAAACTAAAAGCTGTTAACATACAAAGACTTCTGCTATTCTTCATCCCCCTTCACAACTAGATGGCCTCCTTGCTTTAGAGGTCAGTAAGAATTTGACAGAAGCCAACAAATCAATCTGGTTTCAGCTTAGTATAAACCGGTCTCCTCATGCTTCCAGGTGAACCATTCAGTCTGGACAGCTGCCTCTCAGTCCACCAGGTGTATTTACTGTTTTACTCTGAAAGGCCTCAGTCCAGAGTAAAGCATGCCACATGTTCTGCCTTTAACTGCAAGCGTGAACACAACAGTCTTCATGTACGCCCAGCATCTGAGAAACCAAATAACCAGCAGATTGCTTTTTATTTTAGATGGCAAAGTCACCACAATAATAGGAAATTTTTTATTTTTTTTTGTTAGCATGTTATGCGGATAATGTGGCTAATGGCAACCTTATCTGATAACCCACAGTTTAGAGCCGTGTGGAAATAGAAAAGCTGAGGGACTTTCAGAGGTGGTGGGAGCTTTAGTAGCCATTTGAAACCAATAAATAAAGACTGGATGGATGCTGTGTGTTCATGTCACCTGTTGGCTACAGTGCAACATAAACTCTGTTGGTATTTACGTCTGTCTGCTTCTCTGCTGCTGTCTGTGCTCACATATACTGCGATTCAACCCTTTTGGACCCCAAATAAAAAATGACAGGAAAAGGATCCACATGAGAGAGCTGGATGTCATTGCCACTGTCACTGGACAACTAGTGCAGCACTGCCAGGGACAAACAACACGACAGGCAGTGAGCAGGTCATCAGAATACAGGATCAGTATGGATACCTCTACTACCTCAGGGGTGTTACCAATACACCATGTTTCCAGTATTTGGCCTTGAACATTGAAAGACACATTCCAGAGATGATAGAATAGAATAGAATAGAATAGAATAGAATGCTTTTATTGTCATCATACATAAGGTACAACGAAATTAAAAGAAGTCAAATCAATTCACTGAAAAGAGTGTGAGATCCGTAAAGTTCAGACATTCCCCAGATGAAACGGGTTTTATTTAAATGGCCAAAGGTTCAACAAAGTCAGAATGTGTCCACTGGTTGGCGCTACAACGCTGTTGCAGTCCCTTTTATTGTCAAGGTCACAACCGGAAGTTGTGTTCGGAGTTGCGGGTTACCATGACAATAGCGCCTTTACGGTGAAAGCGGAAGTTGATCGCACTCGTGCTCGCCAGCTTGACCCGGCCGTATGTAAAAGAGTATAGCGGCCACACAATCCTCATAATGAGTGGACGGTACCAGCGCAGCGGGTCGGACGTCGCTCGATGCGCCGGGACGCGCATTTATGTGGCTTTTGATTGACGGCATGAAAACTTAAAAACGCTTTGCTGGCAGGCGGACAAGTTGCGCCTGCGCCCTGAACCTGCGTTTTTTTTTTTTTTTTTTCCAGCTTGAGGTATGTTGCTTTGCTTGAAAACCAGCAGCTGCTGCACAGAGCAGAGGCAAAGTGCAATATCTGAGCCACTCACACGGACGACACGCCGCGACAGTCCGGGGCCGTGGGGGATCACAGTGGGCTGGACTCGCTCGCCTTTTCAGCCGTTTTCTGCGGTGCCAGCAGCCTGATGTGGAAGACGCTCTCTCCCGTGTGTTTCGGATGATCTCCCCCACAGCCTGCTCCACGTATTGAGATGATCTATTTTTGTGATGGCGAAGGGTCTGTTTCCACGGGCCTGGGTGAAAAAGTCATTCTACTTCCAGGTAATAATGCTGCTCCATGGTTTTCTGTGTGTGTGTGGATCTGATTGTGTTTGAAATGAAGCCGTCCTGTGCGTATGAAGGCACCGTGGAGGTGTCACATCAGGCTGACAGCTGGCAATAAACACGGATCAGTGGGTATCGTGGGCAGAGGACCTGATGAATGTGGAAACAATAGGCTGACAGGCTCTCAGGTGACCCAGAATGGACAGTACAGGCCGACCACTGAGGGTATTTATGATCAAAATGGTAATCCATGAAAGGACTTAAAACCCTGGAATCTGTTTCATCTCATTTAAATTCCTCCTCCTCACATTTGATCACAAAAAAAAAAAAAGATGCCAAGCCATCCCTTCCCCTCACTGTGGTTTTATTATCCTGATCGGTGCCAGGGCAACGCTAATCCTTTTGCATGGATAATAAGGGTTGAAACCTTCTGATTTGGGTACCAGTTGCCTGCTGCCAGCAGTTCCTCCCAGTACAGTAAGGAGCTTATGCAGGAGGAAGCAAATACAGGGTCGAGAGCATATTGCTGCATTACAACGTTGAGTAAAGTCAGTTTATCTGAGCTTTGGAGTTGAGCTGCAGTCTGATGGCTGAAGTCCTCTGCAGGCTGGAACATGTAGCGCTCAGACGGTGAAGCATGTTGGCTGAGCTGATTTGGTCTGGCTTCACCCAGGACATCCAAAACCACAGCAGCCAGTGTGTCCTGTGGTTCTCAAGATTCTTCATTGGTCACAGTTATGCATGGTATAGTAACATGTGATGACACCTACCACATCTCCTCCCATCCCTACCACACGCTCACCATGCAGAAGTGGTTTTATTTCGTCCTGAGGTGATTGCCATAGTCGTGCATTGTGTGTGGTTTTGTCCTGCACTGTGTCATTTGTTGTGGTTCCTTCTGTTCCTGTCTCAGCACAGAGTTTGCATATTAATGGAGCGTTGAGGCAAAAATACATTTGGCATGATCATTTAGCAGATTTGTGCTTTTTGCAAGCTGCAGGGCTCACACGCTCACATCAGCTAGTATACCCTTGTGTTCTGGCTCGGCCAAATCTAAAAAGAAGTCTTGTTAGGGGACCAGAATGTGTTGGCAGAGGTGGAGCATCCAGATCTGTTACAGGGTCCGACGGGCTGTTCCAAGTAGCAAGTTTTACAGGGTTATCTGGATCACTTTGCAAAAGCACATTTTTTTTCCATCAGGGGTTCCGGGTATCAGTTTTCTCTAAGTTTGCAGCAGATTCCACATTCAGCACACAGCGGGACTAAACCAAACAGCCGGAAATGTTTGGAACGGGACTCGAGTATCAGACGCTCGTTGTGATGAACTCGAGTTCAAGAGGCTACATGAAAACTGGTTTGGATGGAATGAATGTGTGAAGACGTGGTTTCCCTCGGGGAGGTCATCGTCTGTACGAGCATGTTGGATCCGTGACATCTCAGCTGACACAGACCGAAGAGGACAGCTCAGCTCTGTCAGTGGATCGTGGCCAAACTACAGGCCACCATCAACACTCGCTAAGCTACGAGACACACAGTGAGAAGAGCTGTGGTGCTGAAGCTCTTTTGTCTGTCCGAAGCTGATACAGGCTCAAACCAATCAACAGTCATCGCTGCACTGTGTTAGATTTCTGTCGAACTTGTTCTGATGTTGTGCAAACTTCCATCCATCATCTCTACACCTTAACCCTCACTAGGGTCATGGGGGCTGGAGTCTATCCCAGCTGACTCAGGGTGAAGGCAGGTTCACCTGGACAGGTAACNAATTCCTGAGCCACCGCTCGTCAGTGTGGGCTTCCCTTTGTTCACATAACGAGTGAACCTTCACCAGCCCCCCCAGAGCAGGATAAAGGGCCAGTCAGGGATCACGTTCAGCGGTGAAATAACGTCTTGGATGTGAACTAGCTAGCGGCCAGGCGTCGTTGGTAGCGCCAATAATCCGCACGCAGCGCCGTAACCCCGGCCGGGTCGCTGACCGTCGGACCCACACCCCCCGACGGGAGGAAAACATGATGACAACAATACCTCATTCGGTCACCTCCGCTTCCACAACCGACTCGTACAACGAAAAAAATACGCGGATCAGAGTAAAGCCCGGCGTCCCGCTACGTCCGCTGGCCGATTTATTCCCAAACTGCGTCCGGAAAACTTGCGGGTGTTGCGCCGTGCTCAGAAAATAACAAATGGCTCATTTTCCCCCAGCACGTTCGCCATTTTGGTTTCCCGCTGATGGTCGGGGAGTGCATTATGGGAAGCGCCTCCACGGCCGCCGCTGCTGCTGCTGCCGCTGCGACGCTCAGTCTTTTTCAAACATTTGAAAATGTAGGCAGGGCATTTACTAAGCAGAAAATAACCGCCCCTTAAAGCAGCATAAGGGGTTTTGTTGGTTTTTTTAAAAAAGAAAATTGGATCATTTTTGTTGTTGTTGTTGCTGCTCGCACTTATCTCAATGGAGTAGTGAGAGCGCCAAATGACAAAAATAAATCAATAAAAGAATAATAAAATAAAAGTGGAAATAAAAAGAACAATAAATGAAATAAAAAATAAATAATGTGGCAGTATAAAGCAATATTAATCAAAAATAAATGCATAAAATAAAAGGATAATAAAAGTATGAATATAAAGAAAATAAATGAAATAATAAAAAAAATTATTTAATTTTTATTTAGTACTTTTTTTGGTTTTTATTTATTTATTTTATTTACATTTTTATTTTTAATTTATTTTGTTAACTTATTTTTATAATGTCGCTTTAAAAGCAAAGGAAATCTGTGCACAGCAGCATTCCTACTGCACACATTTTTCTGCTCATATTTTCTTTGCTTTTAAAGCGACATTATAAAAATAAATAAAAATAAAAATGAAACAAAAAATAAAAAACAAATTAAAACAAATGATAAATAAAAAATTACATTAAGAAATAACAAAAATAAAACACATTATTTTTTAATTATTTTATTTATTTGTTTTTATAATTCTACTTTTATTAGCCTTTTCTTTTCTGGATTCATTTTTGATTAATGTTGTTTTATATTGCCACATTATTATTTTTTTCTTCTTCTTCTTTTTATTTCCACTTTTATTTCATTATTCTCTTTCTGATTTATTTTGTAATTTGGCACTCTCACTACTCCATATATCTCTTGTGGTGAGTTTTCCCTCGCGGTGTGGATAAAAGATGCACTAATTAGGTTATCAGACTTATTAATTAAAAAGCCCTTTGTGGGGTAAATCTATTTTTATTGTGTTTTGTGGTTGTTTTGACCTTGGTGGTGTGCAAATTGGAGGTATAAACTAAAAGCTGTTAACATACAAAGACTTCTGCTATTCTTCATCCCCCTTCACAACTAGATGGCCTCCTTGCTTTAGAGGTCAGTAAGAATTTGACAGAAGCCAACAAATCAATCTGGTTTCAGCTTAGTATAAACCGGTCTCCTCATGCTTCCAGGTGAACCATTCAGTCTGGACAGCTGCCTCTCAGTCCACCAGGTGTATTTACTGTTTTACTCTGAAAGGCCTCAGTCCAGAGTAAAGCATGCCACATGTTCTGCCTTTAACTGCAAGCGTGAACACAACAGTCTTCATGTACGCCCAGCATCTGAGAAACCAAATAACCAGCAGATTGCTTTTTATTTTAGATGGCAAAGTCACCACAATAATAGGAAATTTTTTATTTTTTTTTGTTAGCATGTTATGCGGATAATGTGGCTAATGGCAACCTTATCTGATAACCCACAGTTTAGAGCCGTGTGGAAATAGAAAAGCTGAGGGACTTTCAGAGGTGGTGGGAGCTTTAGTAGCCATTTGAAACCAATAAATAAAGACTGGATGGATGCTGTGTGTTCATGTCACCTGTTGGCTACAGTGCAACATAAACTCTGTTGGTATTTACATCTGTCTGCTTCTCTGCTGCTGTCTGTGCTCACATATACTGCG